TCCGGCCCCTGGGCTCGTCCCTTCTGTCCTGCCGCGGCGGCGGCTGCTTCCTCCTCCCGCAGCCGCCCGGCCCGGCACTGAGGGGAACGTCCCGCCTCCTTCCCCAGAACCAACCAATGGGAGAGCAGAATGCCCAAAAAACCGACCCCTTCCCGCTGGGGACAACCAATGGGAGGAGGCGACTCCCGTCTGAACCCGTCAGTTTGTAAGAATGATGGAGAGAGAAACCAATGGGCGTCAGAGGTTTGCTTAAACTCCGCCCCACTGCTGAGATTGAGCTCTAGGTCGACCAATGAGACCCCGCAATGGGTTCAACAGCCTGCCATACTAGTTATTGACATTCAGACTGGCCAATCAGTGCCTAAGAATCTAACACACGCTCCTCCTTGATTAGATCGACAGCTCAATCAGCGAATGAGAGTCCGAATAGTCTTAAATCACACTTTGGTCGTCAATCACTATAAATGATAGACAAGCCAGCCAATAGGAGACCGATCCTGCCAATCACTGCCCTCCACCCCTAACTCTTCCCAGAGGACGGACTTGAAAGAGAACAGGCTGTTGCTAAGGGCCTAGTGGGGCCTTGTCCGTTGCTATGGGCCTATCGCTATGGATAATTAATCAGCCCATCGTGAATATTAATGAGACCCTTATTAATATTCAGCCCACAGGTGGCATGGACCCTGCCCCCCCCCCCCGGTCAATCCAGGGGGCCTGTCACCAGGGCAACCAGACAGAGACAGACAAAGACCCATCAACACCCCCATAGCCAGCCCCATAACCTCCCCCGTCCTCCACCCCGTCTGCCCCACAGATACCCCCCAGCCACCCCTCCCTCCTCCGCCCCATAACCTCCCCCCTCCTCCACCCCACTGCCCCACAGATACCCCCCAGCCACCCCTCCCTCCTCCGCCCCATAGACAGCCTCATAGCCACTGCCTCCCTCCTCCACCCCCTCTGTCCCATAGCCACCCCCTCCCTCCTCCACCCCATAGACCACGCCACAGACACCCCCTCCCTTCTCCACACCATAGACACCCCTCCCTCCTCTGCTCCACAGACACCCCTCCCTTCTCCGCCCCATAGCCAGCCCCATAGCCACCCCCTCCCTTCTCCACCCCCTCTGTCCCATAGCCACTCCCATAGCCACCCCTGTAGACACCCCTCCCTCCTCCACCCCATAGACCACGCCACAGACACCCCCTTCCTTCTCCACACCATAGACACCCCTCCCTCCTCTGCCCCACAGACACCCCCTCCCTCCTCCACCCCATAGACACCACCTCCTCCACCCCTCTGTCCCATAGCCACTCCCATAGCCAGCCCCTCCCTCCTCCACCCCATCTGCCCCACAGATACCCCCCAGCCACCCCTCCCTCCTCCACCCCATAGACAGCCCCATAGCCACTCCCTCCTCCAACCTCTCTGCCCCATAGACACCCCCATGGCCTCCCCAATACCCACCCCCATAGACAGCCTTGCCATGTGCCCATGAAGCCACCAGGGTTTGGGAGTGAGGGGCACCGGCTGGGCTTTGGGGTGGGGCGTAGCGGGGGGCTGTGGATCGGGAGT